TTGTACCATGTACAAAATCTATTTCAGGTGAAGAAATAACTAAGCTTTTCATTGATACTATTTATCGCTATCATGGATTACCAAAAGATATTATATTAGATATGGGAACTCAATTTGTATCACGATTTTGGAGAATCCTATTTAAGATTTTAAAGATGGATATAAAACTCTCTTTGACCTTTCATCCTCAAACTAATGGACAAACAAAACAAGTGAATTAAATTTTGGAGTAGTATTTGAGGTGTATCATCAACTATCATCAAGATGATTGGACAAGTCTTTTGCCATTGGCAAAGTTTGCATATAATAATTTGGTATATTTTTCTACTCAATAAACACCTTTCTTTGCCAATTATCATTATCATCTATGACTTGATACTTTTGACTTTTCAAAAGTTGATAATCTTATAGCAGAATATTTAGTAAATTATTTATTAGAGCTACATGCAATAATGAAGATACAATTAAAAGAAGTTCAAAAAGAACAAAAGACTAAAGTGGATGCCTATTGTAATGAACAACCACAATTTAACGTAGATAATAAGGTATGTTTACTTCATCACAATATTAAGACTACTCGTCTTTGTGATAAGCTAGACTATTGTAGGCTAAAACCTTTTCCTATTTGTGAATAAATCAATCCTATTGCTTATTGATTACATCTATCAGAGTCTATGAAGATCCATCATGTATTTCATGTGTCCTTTTTTGATCCGTATAAGATAGTGAATATTTTGGAAAGAAGAAAAATGCCACTTTGTCTTATAGAAGTTGATAATAATCAAAATTTTGAGGTGGAAGAAATCTTAGATTTAAGGTAGTACAAAAATAGGTTGAAATATCTTGTTCATTGGCACAGATATGATATTAGAAAATACTCATGGGAGCTATTAAAGAATCTTACAAATGCAGTACAGAGAATAAAGCCTTTCATCAATGACATCCATTAAAATCAAGATGAAGAATAGGAAATCTTTGCTATAAAAGAAACAAGACCAAAAGAAAACATTCTATTTTTTATCTTTCTTTGTAGCTTGTGTGTAATTAGGAGAATGGAGAACCAACAACCAGCAGATTTAAATCAAAAGCTTTCACTTGCAGACATACCAAACGAGACATTACGATTGTCACAACCTTCAAGATGATGAAATCAAGATGAAGATCCTCAAGAACAACATGTCCTTCTTCAAATAGATGGCAAGCTACAACGTGTTTGGTATCACGACCTTGGAAGAGACTCCCAATGTTTGGTGATTTTATTAAAAGAAGGAATAACTCTTGATGATGTTTCAAATATTTTATTTGAAAGAAGTTACGAAGGCCTCAACAATGACCAAATAACAGGGTGGTCTTTTTGCCTTAGTATGAGATACCATTAATGGCTGAGATAGCCTATCAACCATCTTCAAAGAGAACAAAGATTAAAATATGTGGCAAATACATTTTGTCGCATCTTCAATTTCTTCAACATATAAAGATTGCTCCTTGTGGAACTTGTCCCTAAAAGGGGGGATAATGTCACGGACATATATATGTATTCTAGTAAATAGTTATATGATTAGATAAGAATAGGTAAAAGTAGATAAAAGTAGGTTAATTTTATAAGATCTTTTAGACAAGCTTCTTAGAAGCTTTATAGACACTGCTTAATTTTATATGTGTTTGTAGTTGATTGATAGGTTAGAAACTTGGTCAACAAGTTAATCACGTATTAGTAGCTTGTAGAACAAGCTAACTATATGGCGCACGTATAGAAAACTTGCCTTACAAGTTAAGATATGTGTCTTGTAAAGTCAACACATTTTAGAGGTTCTATAAGACATCACTATGTAGCTCCTACTTAAAAGTATATATAGAAGCAAGAGTGAAGCCTTCTTCACTCTTCTCAATGCCTTTCTAGTCCTTTGTCTTATTTCAAGACTTTCTAGTCTTCTTATTTTTGGCAATAGTCATTCTAGTTCAATATTATATCATCTTTGAGTGACTTTCTAGTTCCTTTGAGTGATATAAGAGTGTATTGAGGATTTTCTTTTTTTAAGATTCATATTTTTGACACTAAGAGTGTTGACAAGCTTGTGAAGATTTGTAATAGTTTCAAATCTATTTTCATTTTTGCTGCAAATAGAAACCATAATTTTTTCTTCCATAGAAAATTTAAATTATATATATATGAGTCTAGTTAAAAGAAGGTAATCTATAACTTATAATATCAAATGAATTTTTTTACAAAGAGAAGTAGTACACTCTTTTTAATAAAAATATCACTATTGAAGAAACTAAAATGTTAGATTGAAGGTAAATAATCCACAACCTTTAAAAAACAACAAGAAAAGTGGAGTAGTCTACTTACTTCTAAAAATAAGACAAAAACAATGAATTATCACTCTTGTCAAACTATCAAAGATATGAATCTGAAACAATTGAAAGATTATTATACTCTTGTATTATTCAAAAAGGCTAAAAAATCTTTTAAAGATGATATACTATTAAAGTAGAATGGCTATTATTAAAGATAAGAAGACTAAAAAATCTTGAAATAAGACAAAAGACTAAAAGAAATTGACAAGAGTAAAAGAGATTTTATTCTTTCTTCTTAATATACTTTCTAACTAGAAGCTACACTCTTATAGTATATATATTCTTGTTTGAAAATGTACTTGGCACCTAGGTGTGAAAGTTAAGTAAAAATACAACAAAAATCTTATTAAGTCTAATAAAATGATAAATAAACTTTAACTAATCTTTAATAATCCTAATCAAATTTTAATCAATCCAAATCCAATATAAAAGAAGTTACAAAAGACACACAAAAAAATAATAAATGAATAAATAATAATAAAATCTTAAAAAATATATAAAAATTAATCTTAAAAAATTATAATAATCTTAAAGAAATATTAAAAATAAAAATCCTAATTTGATCTTATTTTAACTCCAATTGAAATGTAATGAACCTTAACTAGATCTTAGATCAAATCCTAATAAAACTATAAATTCTAATCTTAGATCAAATCCTAATAAAATCCTAATTTCTAAAAAAATTCTAATCAAATCCTAAATAAATCTCAATCAAATCTTAGACTAATTGTAAATAAATCCAAGATAAATCCTAAGCTAATCTTAATCAAATCCTAATAAAATTTAGATAAAATCTTGTGTATGACATTAATTAAGAATATATACTATGCATATTTATATACCAATTAAAAATATTTGTATAGCTAAAATTTAGGTATTTAGTGTTGTTTATTTTTTATTATTAATAATATTAAATAATTTTTTACATATATCTATATATTATAATAGATAATATTAAGTAGCAGTAAGAAAATTGTATATGTAATGCAATGAAATAAATTATATTGCATAATACTACTCTAGTAAGCAACAAAATCAATGCTTAAGATACAATATTAATTAGTTCTAATATTTTTTCAAAAATCAAATTTTTTAACAACAACAAAGATTTAGTTGAATTATCTTAAATTATTCATGATTATCTTAAATTGAAACAAATTACTTCAAAATAAATCAAAAGAAATTATCTAGTATTATGATTAATATAAAAGAAAAAAAATCTATTATATCAAATAAATATATTAAAAAAATACTCGATTTTTTTATAATTAATAAATTATTATATAATATTTAATAAATAATATCATTAAAGATATTATTTTAAAAAAAACTTATATATTTTTATTAAAATAATTTAATTTTCTTATTTAATTAGACTAAAATAATATAAAAATTTAAAAATTTAAATATTAAGTATTTTATATAGATTTTAGATAAAATTTCTTTTACAAATCAAATTGATTATGTTAACAATGTTTTTTTTAAGTTATATCATTGTTGCAATTTAAATAATAAGATAGTTATATATATTTATTTTTCTAATAAGATTTGCTTATAAAAAATAAAATAATATTTATTCATAAAGATCATATTTATTTTAAATTTTAGATATTTTATATAAAATTTATATTTTCTAAAATTAAAGATATTAGAAATTTGACTCATTGTTTTTTTTATCTAATTTGCTATCATGTAAAAAAAATCTATTTTATCTTTAAGAGTGTTAAAATTAATAAAAAGAATTATAAAAATAAAAATTAAAAAATCTCAGTTGGAATTTCAAATATAAAATTAAAGTATTTTCTTTATAAATATTAAAAAAAATAAAAAATCCTAGAAGTTGAATTATCAAAGAATCTGATTGATTTATTATAATTTAGTAAGTAAATCTTGTAATAATGAGTAACTTTGATATCAAACAATCACAATTATAGTTGTTAGTTAAATAAGTTTATTGTCCTATTGAATAAATTTAAAATAATCTTATTTAAGGCAATACTTTTCAAACCAATCTTTGCTTGTTTTGTAGGTCTAAAAAGATCAAATATGAGAACTTTGTTTATAACTTGTTGGAAAAGGATGTGATGTTACAAATGTACTACAAACTATTTTATAATTTATTTTCTCCAAACTTCTAGATATTTGAACCTTATATGCTATTCACATACATAAAAACATCAAATTTGAACCTTATATGTTATTCATTCCTACTAACGCAACTAACCCCATATTCATTTCCATACCCAACAACAGCACCGAACAAAACAACATTCGTGTTTTTACCGACACCCTCCCACTGGGACAACGCCAACCCCACCACCTGCAAAAGCGCTCGCTCGCTCGCTCGGATCCCACGAGGCGACTCCGACATCGGAGCCTCGGAGTAAATGTGTTTGTTTTTGTTTGCTTGCCTGCTTTTCAAAGGAAAAATTACGCCGTCTCCTCCGTCTCAGTCCGGTTGGTGAAAATGCAACTCTGCAATGGAATGAATGTAAATCAATGTGACATCAAGCATGGCAAGGGGACAATGAAGATGAATGCCGAGGTGCCACGAGCATGACCCAGTCAGTCGCCGCAACCGCAAATCTGCACAAGGCCCGACACTATTCCCCTCGCACTACCTCCCACCCCCTTCCACATCCAAGGCCGCATTTGCTTCGCATCCTGGGAGCTAATATAAGAGCGGTGTGGGCAGCCCCATGGTGGCCACATCGCACCGGTGGTTGGCAGATGGAGCCACAGGCCTTGGGTGCAGTGATGCACAGCATTCAGTGGCGGCATTCATGGCAAGGTAAAAGCTTCATGGGTTGACTTAGCTTTATATAATTACACGCTGGAGTGCATTGTGTGTATGTGTGCGTGTGTGTGTGCCGAGACGCGGTGACAGCGAGAAGGGAACCCCTAACAACGTTGACGATGCGAAAGGGAGGTGGAGGAAGAATCAGCGGATGAGATACTGGTTGTGGATTCGTCACGCGTAGATTTCATTCCTGGGTATCTGCCGTGCCTTCCGAGCCTGTTGTGGTTGACTCTGTTGGATTGGGTCGTATACAAGAGTGCTTCTGGGCTGAAGAGAGAGCTTTCAGACTCTCCTCTTTCATTTCGCTGGTGAAGCTTGTTGTGGAGGGATTCTGTTCACATCATCGGACAGTGGGTTTTTTTAATCAGGTACTGTCTTTGAAGCTTTTCAATACTTGGAGTATCTGGTGTTGTGATCGCTTTTGTGAGGTGGGTGTTGTTGCGAGTTGTCGGGTAGTGTGAGTTTCTGGAGTAGGGTTTTGGGCTCTCAGTAAGGAGGGCTTTGAATTGGCTTTGAGCAGATCAGAGTTTCGTGGTAGTTTTAATTGCGATTCTTATCTTTTGCTTCTCTTATTTCTGCGAGAGCGATCGAATTCGATTCGAGCGCATTGTGAATTTCTGTAGCTGGGTAAGTTACTTTTGGACTTCAGGTTTTCGAATGTTAAGTAAAGGGAGTATTCGGATCGTGAGTGTCAGCAGAGTACTGAGGTCATTACGAATTCGCAAACAGGGCGGAGATAAACCGCGAGATCCAATTTGCAGTGAGCTTGGTCAATATGTTGCGGATTATGCTCGAGTTACTTCTTATGAGTAATGCGGGGAGGGGCTGAAATGTGTTTTTTGGGGGATTTTAGGTTTTTCCTGTTGCCATGTCGTCAGCGGAGGAAGCTTTCGTGGTAGGGTATGCGCTCGCCGAGAAGAAGGTGACGAGCTTTTTGACACCCTCACTAATCGAGCATGCGAGGAGCAAGGGCGTCAACTTGGTGGCTGTGGACATGAAGAAGCCCTTAGAGGAGCAGGGTCCTTTCGATGCAATCATCCACAAGCACGGGGGCGACAGTTGGACCCAGGAGCTGGTCGAGTACAAGGATCGCCACCCAAGTGTCATTCTAATCGACCCCCCCGCATCCATTGAGAAGCTTCTGCATCGCGTTACCATGCTGGAAGCTGTAGCTCACATCAAAGTCACCGAAGGGCTGGGGACCGTCGGCATTCCCAAGCAACTCATTGTTGACAGTGAGGAAATGCTCAACGACGACAAAGCAATTGCGGAACTGACATTCCCTGTTATATCCAAGCCCATGGTCGCAGATGGCAGTGCAACCTCACACGCCATGTACCTTCTCTTCAACTCCAAAGGTCTCCACAAATTGAAGCCTCCGATGGTGCTCCAAGAATTTATCAACCACGGAGGGGTTATCTTCAAAGTCTATGTTGCTGGTAAGTACGTTCAATGCGTTCGACGCCATTCGCTCCCCGATGTGCACGAAGACCAAGTAGCTAGCGCCGAGGAGCCCTTGCCTTTCGCTCAAATCTCCAACGCGGTTTCGGGTGCGACCATGGGCGACAATGTGACCAAGGCGGAGCTTCCTCCTAAGGAGTTCATCGCAGATGTGGCGAAGGGATTGCGGGAGAATCTCGGACTGAACCTCTTCAACTTCGATGTGATCAAAGACTCCGGGGCTGGCAACCATTACTACGTGATAGACATCAACTACTTCCCTGGGTATGCTAAAATGCCGGATTTTGAGACCGTGCTTACTGATTTTCTGCTTGAACTTCGGCATGAGAAATCCTCCACAAGTACTCCTGCTGCCGACTCCTTAGCTGACTCAATTGCCAGCAACCTTGATGTCTCCGTGGAAGAGGCATAAAGGATAAATCCTTAAGGCCTAACGAAGATGCGGCGTGAAGTTAGGCATCTAGCTGACCGCAAGTTGGGACCGGTCTATTGCCGAATTTCAGCAAGCTGTGGAATCGTTTATGGTTCATTACAGTAATATTGTGAAATAAATTCTGTCACGTATTCATGTAATCTATTGGTTCTTCGATTGGATTCTTGATAAGTATTTTCTGCTGTGCTCACTTTTTGATGTATGAATGTTGTTTTCCCTCTTGTTCCATTCTTCCGCGTCCCTTGTGAGATAAAGGCCAGAGCACTAATTCTACTTTATGGATTTTCATTTTTATCCCTTCCGAATGTGCTCTACATTGCTGTTGAAACCAAGTTTAGACTTGCGGCTGAAGAATTTGCCTTAGATTGTGTGAGGGTGAAGAAACAACAATGAGTGTTCTTTCTATGTGGTGTTCCCGTTGATTAGTGGGTGGCCCTCAGATAAACTTAAATCTTCAGGCTGTTGAAGGTGTGATGTGTTAGGCTAGAGATTACAGGCCTTTGGTTTTCCTCGTCTGACAGGGGAGAAATTGAGCAATGCTTAGGCTCCAAGGCTTGGTCCCTTAATACTGCAGGGAGATCATTTTGTGAAAGTTTAGGCTGCTCAGCTGATCTTCCTCCTCACATGTAAACATCCTCTTATTTTTGTGGTAACGTGGTTCCCGGGGAGATAAAAAAGAGATGCCTTCACTGTAAAGTTTGAAAGTTTTGGCTAACTGAAGGCAAGCTCAAACTTTTGTAAGCTGTATGAACTTTGGTCTTAAGCATGTTATCTTAGCTTAATCAGTTTCATTATTTCAACCATGGGTTCGTTTTCTCGACCGTAGCCTGGCTACTCCACCACAGAGGCTGGGACAACACCAAATTAGAAGCACCACTGAAGCATCAGGTGGATTTGTTCGAACTTTGTAATGGTAGGGTGACTTCGATGCACAAAAGCGACATCCAAAACATATTTTTCTACCGCCCCATACGTTTCAGGTGGGATCCTCATTTCTGAAAGAGGTCTTTCGTTCCAAATCTGCACACCCTAATTTCAGGTTAATCTGAAATCACATCCTCGAATCTCTCAACCAGTTCAGAGTAACGTGTTTCTATAAAGGTGGTCCACTTGTCTCGGTAACGCACCTGCGCCAGATTTGAGAAGGTGTAACTCGTGAGTTACCGAACGGCAGGGATCGACAGTGTACCGTGTGAGCTAACTGATATTCTTTGTTGAGAAATTCAACGGTATAGGCCCCGCCCAATTCCTAAGAGTGGACCCTTGGTTCGGTTCCTGTCACAGGTGGATGGATGCAGTTGAGCTCGTGAACATCACCTCATGAAGCCTAGGGCTGTAGCTCTGGGCACACTTAGTGGTGGGATCAGCGCGTTCCAACTCGTTCATTTAAATCGGCGAGATTCCTCACTGTACAACAGCTACGTTACCAGTATCCCGACTCCCTACTTTTATCTCCCAAAACCTGGGTATTTAACCCTGTCACATTCTGCGCTTGTCAAACTATCTGTACTCGTCCTCAATTTATTCCGCATCCTGAATCCCACTCCCCTCTTAGAATCACTCTCTGCGTTTATATTGCTTGATCTCTTGTTCAGCGTCAGTTGTAGTGAGTGTGCCAAAGTTGATCAGCTTTGAAGTTTGTCTGGGTGTGAGCTATCTGTGTGCGACTTCTCACTACGTCCAGTTTGGATTTTGGATTCGTTTTCATTCCACAGATTGGTGCAAGCACTAGCTCGGTGGGAAAGGATTTTACTCAGTTTTCAGAGAGTTTTTGACGTTTGCAGGATTGTCATCACTCGATGGCTTCGCAGTGGGGGAAGATGAATACACCAGCAAAAAGCACAAGATCCTCTCAGAGGTTTCCAACCGCACAGAAAAGCTGCTACGCCCTCGAGCCCGTCCTGGAAAACTGCGAGATTCCTTCGGAGAAACGATGCAAGGTGGCACCTGCAGCATGTTCTGTCCAAGGCAGAAAAACTGCGAAACCTGTAAGAATCTTGTTGAAGCTCCGAGACAGGTACGTGAAGCTGATGAACGGCGTGGCCACGGGAACGGAGATGGTGGGCATGTCGTCTTTTTACACTTACCCAGGACATTGTTACCTAAGCACAGTGGCAAAGACGCAGAGCGCCAAAGAAGAGGAGAAGAAGGAGATCTCCTACTGCATGCAAGTGCACATGGCTCATTCTAGATAAACGAGCACCACTGCAGCTCAACGCCCTCCCGGAAACCAGTTCGGATGCGACAACCATCTTGTTTTTTCAAATCTGAAACTGGTTGATTTTCGACAGCACCGAACTCTGAAACTTCCGGAGTTTTGCAGAAATTTTGGGTTCATCGAGGTGTTCGATCCAGCTCTAGGACTGGAGAGGTCGTGAAGTAGGCACTGTTTTGTATCATAGTTAAGGAGCAGCACCAACAAGTAGCTAGAAATTCACATCGACAATTGTGTGTATGATGTAAGAGCGGAAGACTGATGTCGGTTTTTTTTGCGAGATAGACGAGACTGGTTTAGACGGAAGTCTGGACATCTAGATTTCTGTGCAGCTGACACAATGTTGATGTCATCGCTTCACAGAAACTCAGTAAAAGAAAAGAAAAGAAAAAGCACTTTTGAAGACTCTACGCAGTGTTTGCTACTCAGTCCATGTGAACAGGAAAACTTTTGACTTTGGCATGGGGTGTGATATGAGTGTTGGAAAACTGATTTGGACAGGATGATAGAAAATAGTAAAATTTTGTGCAACCTAATGCAAGCAAGAATTAAAGAACAAAATTTGAGAATGGTTCCAACTCTCTGTGTGGGTAGGTCAAATCATAGATGGTCGCTGAAATACTAGCTATACAGACAGAAGTGTGATTAGAAGTAATATGAAAATTTTGTCCAGTAGATTTATTTTATATGATTCCCCATTATGTGATAGTGACAATACATGTTTGTAATATCAAAAATATGAATAAACACTATGCTGTTGCATCCTCAAAATAAATCAATTTTATAACATAATGCAAGCAAAGATTTATTAAGATCATATACAATTTTTATACAAAGCCATTATATTTTTCTTTTGATATATTTATATATAAATATAAATTTATAAATATGAATTAATAAATAAATATATTATCAAACATTCTTGTGGATTGTTTTTCTACTATTTCAATATGTCATCCTCCACAATCTCAAATAACAACAGAATGCTATGGCCACTAAGAACTTGTAGGAAAACAAACTAACAACTATTTTTATTCATATATATATATATATATATATTTATTGACACATATGGAACACATAATTTTTTTCTAATTAAAGAAACAAGAGCTATCAATATCTTAACAACCTATTAGCATTGCAAACAATGAAGCAAATTAGATTGCAATGTACATATTTACCATATTCTGGTTACTATATGTATTTTTAATATTTAAAAATAAATATTTTTTAATTAAAACATTTAAAATTTAAATATTTATAATATTTTATTATTAAAATAAAAATAAAAAATCAAAAAACATAAAAAATAAAAAAATTTCAATAAATAGATTTTATGTAAGTCTTAAGTAAGTGTGATTAAAAGAACAATAATATTTGATTATATTAAAATATTATCCCTTCCACACAACTTCTACAAATCTCTTTATATCTTCATCTATTCATCTTTACATGATTTTCTTATTTGCACTTGCTTTACTTATTTTCTATTTATAATTATCTATTCATAATTATTTTAAAATATTTTTTAATTTTTTTATTATATAAAATCTTTAAAAGTCTATTTAATCTTATTTTAGTCAAAATATTAATAATATTAATTAATTAACATTATTTTTACATATATCTTTTAAAAAAACCTAAATATTTTTTTTTATGCAAAATATTATAAATAAAATTCAAAATTCTAATACATATAATCCTCTTATACATTCTATTTGCCAAAGTAGAGTTGATAATTTATTAGTATTATTTTTATCATTTGTTACTATCCTTAACAAGAATCTTTTTAGTGATAAAATTTGTACTAAGGAGTTTTGTCATGAGTGGAAGTACATTCTAATCTCAAGAGAGAGAAAGCTTGAAATGTCATAAGCGAATATAGATGGAGGAGAGCAGATGAATCCATTGGCAAGATTCTAATCTCAAAAAAATTCTATTATAAGCTAAGTTTTGCTTAGATAAAGAAACAAAGTATAGAAATCAATTCTCCTTGACAATTTCAATCTAAGGAATATTTCAAAAATTAAAAATTGTATCTTCTATGATTAGGGTTTTGATGTTGCTTCTGAATGTCTTTTAGACACTGAAAACAAAAGACTTAAGAATTAAAAGCTAGCTAGACATCCTCTTCTTGTAGTTAGATAGTTATTTATTTTTAATTAATAAATAAATCCTTTAGTATAACTAGCACAATTGCAATATTAGCAATGGCCTTGAACTTTCAAATTTGTGGAGCTTCATTGTCTAGTAGCAATACAAATTCAAGGACTTTCAAATAGTAGCTAAGGTGCTTGGGTAAAATATAAAAGTACTTCTTTGATAGTGACTTTAGTTTCTTGTTGGTCAAAATCTTATTAGGATGATACAATAATTAAATAATCTTAATAGATGCGTAAAAGATGGTAGTGATCAAGTATCAAGGACATGAATCTTAAAAAATCAAGAGTTCAATACATTCGTGTGCCACTTGAATAGACTAAATAATCACTTAAAGATGGTATAATATTAAATTAAAATGGCTACAACCAAAGACAAGAAAACTAGAGTTTTTTGAAACAAGACTAAGAATAAGAAAATTGTTGATAAGAATTAAGTAGGCTTCAATCTTATCTTCATATATACTATCTAATTAAGAGCTACAATGTTGTATAACAAGAAGTCTTGCTTTAAGAATGCATTGGGCATCTGGCTATGGGAAACAAAAGAGAAATTGTAATAACAAGATCCTAACAACTATAATAGAATCATAATAAATTCTAATTAAAACTTAATAATGTTAATCAAGCTTTAATAAAATCTAAAAGAAATCTTAAAGAAATTACAAAAAAAATATGAAGAAATTCTAAAGAACTTCTAAAGAAATTATAAAAAAAATCATAAAGAAATAATAAATAGACCTTAAAGAATTTCTAAAGAAATTCA